AATCAAAATTTATCATAAGGGCCCCCGAGGGTCGAATCAAAATTTATCATAAGGAACCCGAGGGTGTAATCAAAATTTATCATAAGGGACCCGAGGTCGAATCAGAATTTATCATAAGGGACCCGAGGTCGAATCAAAATTTATCATAAGGGGCCCCGAGGTCGAATCAAAATTTATCATAAGGGGTCCTAAGGTTAAATCAAAATTTATCATAAGGGACCCGAGGGTCGAATCAAAATTTATCATAAGGAACCCGAGGGTGTAATCAAAATTTATCATAAGGGCTCCGAGGTCGAATCAAAATTTATCATAAGGAACCCGAGGGTGTAATCAAAATTTATCATAGGGGCCCCCGAGGTCTAATAAAAATTTATCATAAGGAACYCGAGGGTGTAATCAAAATTTATCATAAGGGCCCCCGAGGGTCGAATCAAAATTTATCATAAGGGCCCCCAAGGGTCGAATCAAAATTTATCATAAGGGACCCGAGGGTTGAATCAAAATTTATCATAAGGGACCCGAGGGTTGAAACAAAATTTATTATAAGGGGATCCAAGTACCCACCAGTACCCACCACTTAAATCAATAAAATTGAGTCCCTATTTAAACTATTGCTTTAATAAAAATAAAAATCGAAAAAAAGTAACCGATSTAAGTGACTATTTATTTTTTCCTGGACTGACAACTTACAACGGAYCTTTTCGACTTGGTCGTAATGTTTTCCCATTTCAGACCACATGTCATTCTCTTGAGAATAAGATTCTTTGTTTCAGTAGTGTATTCATATTCATGTGTCTTCTCATGCGTAACCATTAAACAAAGAAAGAATACTCTAGGGAATGACACGTGGTCTGAAATGGGACAACATTATGCCCAAGCCAAAAAAGGTCTATTACGGTTGCCAYTTACGAATACCTTTCTAAGAATATTCTCTATTCGAGGGCTTCTTAAAGAATGGATTCTAAATTCTAGCACTCTTCAAGGAGCTTAAGAAGTAGCACGAACCCTGTAATAAACCCATGGTAATGCACTATTTTGTAAAAGAATTGT